CCCCCAAAGTGATTTAAATAACAATAAATGCAACAGCTACTAGGCATGGTGATGGCATGCGTTCATTAGCATGAAGGTTAGAATAAATAGAAGCACATCGACACGATAATCATTATCATTTAGCGGAGGCAGGAACAGACCGACAGACACACAGATAGACAAGGTAGACAGATAGACAGGAACACCAGAAGGATGGATGAAAAAGAAGCGCCCTTCAACCACCCACCCACACAACATTCACAGGTGACGGACAACAAAACAGGAAATGACAATGATGAAAACCAAAAATAAATCGGGAGGCGAAATGAAAAAACAGCGAGGTGAGAATTCGACGACAGTTGGAGAGGACACATACCGTCAGCAAGTCGTTTACATGTAGGCCTACTAAGCCCAACATTGGGACTTTTCAAGAAAACTTCAGTCTCTCAATCAGTGGTATCGTTTGCATGCTGCTCAAGAAATGTTTCGTCAAAATTGAAATTCTAAATGTGGAGAAAAAAAAAAAGAAAAGGAAAAAAACCCACAACACAATGTCTGTAAAAAGTAAAGTTGTTCCCCCCTATCCGATCCGGACATTGGGGATTGCCTTGTTAGTGAGACAACTTCCTGGGCCTTCGGCACATTGTGGCAGGGTGGCCAGTCCCTTTCCACGCCGCCTTTACTTCCCCAACTCGAAGTCAGGTACCCATTACTGCTGGGTGGGCAGGAGGGGGCGAAAAAAATGCATGTCTGAACAATGAAACAGTTTTCTTTCTCTCCTGTAAAATTTTGATTTCTGGGCTTAAGACAGTTAAACAACTTGTCGACGGTAAGAGTCATATATCCAAAAACATGTACTTCATACGGACCGGGCTAGATATGTATACTGATATCTGATGCAAATACATGTGCGTGTGTGTGTGTGTGTGAACATTTGTGTTAGCATGTGGGTGTGTGTGTGTATACGTGACAGTGTGTGAGTGCGTGTGGGTGTGTGCATGTGAGTGTGTGTAAATCTGAGTGTATGCGAATGTGTAAGCGCGCGCACGTGTGTGTGTGTGTGTATGCATGTGTGTGTGTGTGTAGGTAAGACTAGCAGAATATATATATGCTACCATGCCTGAGTAAGTATGTATGTAAATAATATGTATGTAAATAATATGTATGTATGTCATGTACATGTATCAAAATATATACATATATATGTATATAAATATATATATATGTATACACTCACACACAAATAAATACACAAACAAATATGTCCACATGTGTCACACAGTGTGTCCCAGCCACAGACAACAACTACACACGACAACTACACATGACACGCCACGCCACGGAGCACACACCCTGTCCAGCTCAAGCGCGTCGTTGGCCAGCCAGAGCCAGGTCAGCTGTACGTGGACCAGGCCCGTCTTCACGTCCTCCAGCTGCAGCCACTGAGGACAGGACAGGTGCGGGGGTGAGGACATGAGTCCTTGTGGGTATGTGTACGGTATGTGTATGGTGTGAAATGTGAGACCTTGTAAGGGGGTGAGGACGTGTGTGTTCTGAGGATGTGTATGGTGTGAAATGTGTGTCCTGGTGAGGACATGTGCGGTGGGAAATGTGTGTCCTTGTGAGGCCATGTACGATGTGAAATACGTGTCCTTGAGAGGTGAGGACATGTACAGTGTGAAATGTGTGTCCTTGTGAGGACATGTACCTTGTGAAATATGTGGCCTTGTAAGGTCAAGTAGGTCCTTGTGAGGACGTGTACGGTGTGAAATGTGGCCTTGTAACGATGTACACTGTGAAATGTGTCCTTGTAAGGACATGTGCAGTGTGAAATGTGTGTCCTTGTGAGGCAAGGATGTGTACGGTGTGAAATGTGTGTCCTTGTGAGGACATGTGCAGTGTGAAATTTGTGTTCTTGGGAGGAGAGGACATGTAGGACTGACTTGGGCACACAGATCCCCTTATCTCGTCTTGGAACCTCTCTTCTCTACCCTCCCTCCTCTCATCTTGGAACCCCTCCTCTCTATCCTCCCTTACTTCACTCTCCCTCCTCTCACCTTGGAACCCCTTCGCTTTACCCTCCCTCCTCACTATCCTCTATCAAGTCTACCCTTTCTTACCTCGTCTTGGAAACCCTCCTCTCTACCCTCCCTCCTCTTTACCCTCCATCCTCTCTACCCTCTCTTACCTCGTCTTGGAACCCCTCCTTCCTCTTTACCCTTCCTCCTCTCTACCCTCCCTCCACTCTACCCTCCCTCCTGTTTACCCTTCCTTTCCTTGTCTTGGAAACCCTCCTCTCTACCCACCCTCCTCTCTACCCTCCCTCCACTCTATCCTCCCTCCTGTCTACCCTTCCTTACCTCGTCTTGGAAACCCTCCTCTCTCAGCTTTGACAGATCCATGTCCACTCTGAAACAACACAAATCCTTAGTTAAGTGGTAGCAAGAATTTTACAGCACTTGTAACACAAATCGGTCACTTACGTGGCGTAAATTAGAGGTGTTACTAGAGAGTAACCTAAGAAGGAAAGAAGGAAAGATAAAGACGATAGGTATCTGATAGGATAGAAGGAAGAGAGATATGGATGATAGATGTTTGGTTGGAAAGAAAGAGAGATAAGGAAGATGATAAATGTTTGAAAGGAAAGGAGTAGAGATAAGGAGGATAGAGGTTTGATAGGAAAAAACGAGGAGAGATATGGACGATAGATGTTTGATAGTAAAGAAGGAGGAGAGATACAGATGATACATGTTTGATAGGAAAGAAGGAAGAGAGATAAGGACGATGGATGTTTGATAGGACAGAAGGACGAGAGATCATGTTTAATAGGAAGGAAAGAGGAGAGATAATGACGAAAGATGTTTGATGGGCAGGAAAGAAGGAATTTAGTTTTAGTATGGTTTTACGGCGCGTTAGGTCATATGAGTGCCATGGGGAGGATGTCAACAGTCCAAACGAGGAATCAGGCTTACTCTACTCACCTCTCTAGCCTCAACAGCACAACGTCTGCTTCGACTATCAAGGCACCCCGGAAATAGCAGTTCACAAGAGAATGACAAACATACAAAAGAAGGAAATTGACGATAGTAAGGATGAGGAAAGAAAAAGCAGCAGTTCCCCCTATGTTGTTCCGGCACAGTTAGAGCATGACATTGATAAATCACCCATTTACAATTTTACTGTGCATAAGAACGTGTTAATATCCCCCCTTTGGGAAGGAAAGAAGGAGGAGAGATAAAGATGATAGCTTTGCAATAAAATCACAAAAGACGAAAACTATCTACATTGCTATTCTCTCTCTCTCTCTTTCAGAAGTAAACAACCCATATCAACACTATTTAGATAATCCAGGAGGCAGGTTGCTAAAGATGTGATATCGACCACATTATTTGTCTCGCTCTTTCCACCTGACCTCTGATCATCACCATCTACACATACAGGAACTGGCCGTCAGCCGCGTCCACTATCATCCCTCCCTCCCCTCCTCTCTCTCTCACCTGCCCTCTCCCCCTTCATCCCACTCCCCTCCTCTCTCTCACTCCCCCCTCATCCCACTCCCCTCCTCTCTCTCACTCTCCCCTGCCCTCACCCTCTCTTCTCTCTCTCACCCACACCTGCCCTTCTGTTTCTCTCATCTCCAACCACCCCTCCCCCTCTCTCTCACCTGCCCAAGAAGTCATCCTTACTGCCCGGGTCCTCGTCAAACACGTCCATGTACAAGAACTGGCCGTCAGCCGCGTCCACTATCATCCCTCCCTCCCCTCTCTC